ATGTAGATTAATATTTTTATTATGCTATTTTTCGATATATTGTTATGAATATAGAGATATTGACAATTTGTGAGATATAGATTTGTGGAATACTTACCTGTGATTTCATTTATATTTTGTTTTAACATCTTATTATTAAATCTTATTATTAAATCTTATTATTATAATATTACCATAAATTATTTATAATGTTCTTATTTATTATTTTAAATAATTAGGAATGAATCAAACAAAAATATTCTTCGTTTAAAAGTCATCTTTCATTAATGTATTGATTGTTGGAAATGATTTCTTCATTTACATACAAAATATTACAACATATTTTTATTTGTCAATGCAGTAAATTTTTGGGTTGCTTAAATATTTAAATTATTAAAATATATTCTTTTTTATACATATGTAATTTTTATAGAATATTTTAATTTAATGGACTCTTTATAGAATTACAATTTATAGTTTTTTGACTAATTATTTTGCATTAATTTTTTGCAAAGTTGTTTTGCATCATATATTTTGCAAACATTCAGAAGTACTATTAAAAACGAAATATGTATTTTGAACATATTTATAGTACAATTAAGTATTTTGGAGTATAGAAGTTAAGTATTTTGACATCATTGAGAAGTAATTTCTAAATGAAGAAAATTTTTGTTTTGTTGTTGATTCTTCATCATTTAGCATAGAAAATAAAAAATTCTCGCTAAATATAAATAATTTATAAATATAGCAAAATAAATTCATATCAAATGATAATTGTGTAAATCACAATTTCTCCTGCGCTACTAATTTGATAAATTCTTATTGATAGTTTTTTGATTTACAAATACGCAAAAAAAACACTAAACTAAAAGAAATAGAAAAATATTTTAAAAAATATCATCTTCAATACTCAATAACGTTTTGATGATATTTTGTTATCTTATGTAGATAATTTATTTATGATTGATTTATGATTTATGATTGAAATTTTGTTGTTAAGCATGAGAGAAAAGTGATTTCTTAATTATAAAATTAAGGAATTAAAATACGTCAGATTATAGGTATTAATAATATATATTTACAACATTTTACATACATCAGAGAATTAAAAAAATCTCATGTCTTTATAAGAAATGGATTTAAATATAGAAAACTGATTCCTGTCTAATATATGTATGTATGTTATATACTTTCAAAATTGTTTTGTTAATATACATATACTTGTCTGTTGTTTATTAATTTTTATTTATATAATTTATATTTATATAATTTTATTACAATACGACTATATATTTCATAAAATCCTTCATTTTGATAGATTCTTATATAATAACAATCGTTAATAATACATAACGTTAACAATGCATAAACATAATAATATACAAAAAATAGGAATCTTTAAGCAGCATCATTTATGAATTAATATAAAATATCCTTGAATACTATTTATATATTATAGCAGATAAATGAAGGATTTTCATTTTGAGTACATTTTTTTATAATTCTTTTTTGAAATATTAAGTTGAGCACATCTTTATTGTTAAGTATAAATTTATACTAGCAATAAAAAAAAATTCTAAGTGATTCAACATGTAACTCATTTTTATATGGATTTGACATGTGCATATTTTGCTTAATTAATTTCTAATATTTTAAAAAATTTTATTTATTTAATCATTTAAATTATTTAAATTTTAGTAATGGTAAGAATTCTTAAGTAAATTTTTGGATGAATTTAATTACAATAAAACTTTTATTTTTGATTATTTGTGACTCAAATTGAATCATGCATAATGAAGCATTTATAACTGGCCTCTATTTACAATAAGAAGACATTCTTAACTGTACATTCTTGTTTTTAATAAGAATATATATGAAGAATAAAATTGCACTTTAATTTTGAAAAAATTATGAATTAAATGACTTACTTTAAATAAGATTTTGTATCTACACGTAAGATTATTTAAAGAAGTAAAATTTAGTTATCACTACTAATATCAATTTAAGACATATAAAAAACAAATTGTTAGGTTGATATTTCTATCCCAAAATTAAACAATTTATCTATTCGTTTAGTTTCTACAAGAAATTATTTTTCGAATTATAATATTGACGTATACACACAGCCTTACAAATAATAATCGAAATGTACACAGGATGATTCTAAAACAGGTTATCGAATAAACAGACTGGAAAAAGCACCTATATATCAATCAAAATCTTGTACATGTTGAATCATTTTTGAATTTCAAATGTGAAACTATTGTTAAGTAAGTTTATCGTCAATATGAATTTATAAAACCAATATAAAAGAATATATTCTATTAATTGAAATACTGTTTTTTATATGATAAATTAATTTTTTATATTTGGAGTTAAAACCATTAATGAATTTGGATTATGTTTGATACTTTCAAATGCAAAACTATATTATTGTTCTTGCATTTGAAATAGCTATTGATGAGATAACAACGTGAAACATTTTTTACCTTGCAACTTACATGCACAAACAAAATATTTGAATTAATAAATACAAACAGTAAAAGATAATATTGTTATATAATTATACTTATCAAATTAATTATATATCAAATCATTGTTTATTTCACTAATCGGTTATATAAACATATAATTAAATGTAAAATATTAAACAATAAAATAATAGTACTAATTATTGATTAAATGTTGTAGTAGAATTCGATAACCCATTTTGAAATTTTCCTATATACATATACATATATAATATAACATTTTCTTATTTTTCATTTTTTTAACTACTTTCAATATATGGTGGACGGATTTAATAACCGTCATGGTAGACGGAAATAAAACCTTTAACTATTTATTATATTAATAGTCAAGCGTGGCAAAATTCTGCATATTCGTAGTATGTATTTTGTAACGAAATAATGAGTAACATGAGGTAAAGATGACCTTTTCCATTTCACTGTCTTCTTTTTTTTTTTAAACGATAATTATTGTGCTATAAATCTGTCTATACGAATGTATTTGTTTGTGTAAAGAAAATATGATTACGAAGAATTAAGAATCAAAATCATGATTTCTGTAAAATAAAACGTATGATTAAAATGTAAATATCAAGTTTACTCATTGTCCATAAAATAAAATAACGAATTTTTAAAATTATTTGTTAAAATATTCAGTATGTAAAAATAATGTAAAAATTGATAATAAAATATTACTTGGCATTATTTTTTCTTTTACAATTAATTAGTAGTTAATGTTTAATAATCTATACAAACATATTGCTATATTTGTATAAACAAATCTTCATAATTGGTTTTATTATCATTTATTGTTGTGCTATATTTTTTTACATATACTTTATAATATAAATAATATTTAAAATCATTTACATGAATTTTTGTAGAAAAATGTTAATATTTTATTATCAATAATATTTAACATTTAGGAAATGTAACATTAATAAGACATTAAAATTATTATATAGGTATATACTTTGAAGTTATATTATCGGTTTTAATTAAATATATTTTAATATAATACAGATTAAGAAATTAAAACTTATATTTCTTAAGAAATTGTCATTTTATATTTAAAAAAATGATCATACTTCAATTGTTAATTTATTCTTTATATAAAATGATAATGTGTATTAATAGTATAGTGGAAGATATTATATAATATTCATTTGTGATAATAATATTATTTCATTTCATTCAATTATTGTTATAACTTTACTTTGCCCCATGTTACCCCGTTAATATAAAGTATAATAAGTAAAAAAGTTAGAAAGTGTAACATAACTATATCTAATATTTATATCTCTACAAATTTGAAAGAAGCACTAACTTAATGATTTTTCTTTTTTTTTGCCTCGCGTAAAGTTAGTGTTAATCAAATTGCGAAATATCCTTTTTAATATCAACAATCGTACCAATAATCGTATATCAATAATTTTAACATTAATGTTTTCATATATCATTATTAGTTTTTAATTTATTGTCTTAGAACTTACTTGTTTAGTAATGTAGATATGTAAATATTTAATAAATGGCGATTTAACGTGCGCATACAATAATTTACAGCGTTTATTTTGTAAAAAATATATTTTAAATTTAATTTTAATTGATTTAACTTAATTTTAAAATTAAACTTTAACCGATTTAATTATATTTTTTATACGAATTATATAATTATATTATTAATATCATGTTTTTAAATTTATTATTAGATTTAAATAATATGCGTTTGTATAATTTTATATTACATTTGCAAATGCATTGATGAATTTTATTAGTTAAGTTTTGAAATATTTTGAACCATTCTATAAATATACCACAATGTTGTAATACCCTACTATGATGTTTTAAAGAGCGCACGTAAAGTATATACGATTTTTGATACGTACGATACTCTTTAATACTGTACTATCTTACACAGATGTAATGTATATAATACAAGCTCTAATTGTAATAATTTTTAAAACAAGAGATGTGTTGTAAAATAAATAAAATTATAACAATAAACATTTTTATCAAATGATTAAAAAATGTGTTTTTAAACAAGAGCCAGTCTTTTTAGAAGATACTAGATAAAATTTCCTTCGACTAGTTCAAGAGCAGATCTATTCAGGGTGAGCACTATATGTAATAATATACGCGACATATAATCGAACACGTACATATAAATCGAAGTCTGATTTCTTCGTGTAAAGAACTTTAAGTACAGTATATTCTAATTATTGTTTAGGTGTATATAGTATTAAAATTTTCATAGTCGATTATAATATTTGTTAATATGTTATTTTCGTACTAAAAGAAGATGATTAACAGAAGAAAACGATGTTCAATTCGCAATGCTGCAATTTACTCATTGCTTCATCAATTTACATAATTTACTACTTTCAATTTGAATTTCAACGTGAGAGATACGATTGAAAATTATATATAAAGGGGTATGAAAACATATTATCGATTATTCATGATTCGCTAATACTTTATCTTTATGATCGATCTTATCTCTTATCCCCTAAAACAATCTGTTGATCATGTTTCTGCGGACCAGTTGTCTAATTGTTTGATTTCATGGCTCGCCTCTGAATCATCCAATTCTTTCGACTCATTAGATTTATATTCGGTTACATAAATAACTTGCTTCTCAGTATTTCCTTTCTTACTAGATTTTGTAATGTCTGCTCTTCTAGGTGGAACAGGAGGCTTTTTATTAGAAGCGGATTTCCCATTCGATGTCATTTTGATTTCATTTTGCGTCGATTTCTTACCCTTGCTTTCCATCGTGGAAAGCGTTTCACTGTCCTCGTTATCATCTTCTTGGAATTCTTCTCTACTAGTAGAAAGTTTGATTTCCGTGATATAAGTCATTTTTTGCGGCATTGGCGTATTTGGGAGTGGTGGCCGATTGTCAAAGTCTTGTGAATTATAATCCATCGATTCACCAACTAATCCGCTATCTTCACTGTTTTCACCACTTGAAACACTGATATTGTTAATATTACGACGATCCTCACGATCAAACAAATTTTTGTTATTTATAGTTACACCAGAACCGAATTCGTATTCATTTTCGTCTTCGTCATTTTCTTGGTCCATTCTTGGATTAATGGAAACTTCAACCACACGTTTTGACGGCGTCTTCGAATTTATGTTTGATGTTTTGTTTCTATCTTCCTTGTCTTTCGTCGATTCATGCGCGTGAGATATCGAGTTCGGTAGTTCTTCGTCAATTGTTATCGAATTAGAACCATTACCACCTACTGAATTCGAAAAATGATCTTGCAAAGGTATCGGAGTAGATGATCTTTTCATAGGAAAAGATTTCTTCTTGCAAGTTTCATGACGATTGCAATTTTCATCGCATGCGTGACACCCTCTTTTAATATTAATTTTTGTCACTGGTTCTTCATTGACAGCTTTCTTACCGGCATACGAAATCATTTCGTTCGGTGTTAATGAACTATCTTTCTTCCAGTTTTTGAAACGAGATAAATCATGTTTGGACGAATCTGAGAATGTTGGCTTCTGAACGTACGTTTCAAAATGTTTCAAAGCCTGCCCGAAATCTTTATTTGCTATTTTCTCATCATCCGAAAATTGTTCATTCAAGATCATACTGTTGTTGCTAAAATCATCAGGCAATGACGCTTTCGTTTTAAATTGTAACTCTACTTCTTCGATTGTCGGACTTTTAATAACATTTCCATCGTTAACAATTCTGACCAAGGAATTATCCTCATCTGGATTGAACATCCGTTCTGCATGAATAAATTCTTCTGTAAGCCTTTTGCTCAAGGGTAGGTTATAAAGTTCAATGCTAGTTTCGTTGTCTGTAGGATTTATTTCTTTTGAGTCAGAAGTTTCATTTTTTAACTTAATTTCTATAGCAGATTTGGATCGTTCAAGCGAACCGTTGCTTTTTTCCCTAACTTTTGATTTCTTCAATTTATCTTCTGAATCCTGTTTCTTACGCCATACAACGTCTTCAAGATTACCCCATTCATTCGATTTTTTTAATAATCGTCTATCGAAAGTATCCATTTGATCAAGCTTAGTTAAATCTTCTGTAGATTCATTAATATCTTCTGGTGGCAGAGGTGCTTTACGTTTCTTCGTGCCGGTATCCGTCATATCCAAACTCTGTGCTCTTTCAAGTGTTGCCGATGTTCTGCATTCGTACTTTGATAGATCACCTAAGCTTGCAGCTTTCCTGTAAACATCGTCTTCTTCCTCCTCGTCGTCATTTGTCTCTGGTATAGGTGTTCGATGAATTGTTATATCAGCCGGATTCAATTCGATAGTTGTGAAACTGTTCTGAATTTCACTGTCCGTGTCAGATTCAGAATGTCTTCCATCAATTATTAAAGTCTCGACTTTTTCTTCTACACATGCATCTATTCTTTCTGTTTCGCGTACTTTTTTTATATATTCAGATAAAGAATCTGTATAATCGGCAATGCTATTGATCTCATCTTCTTTTCTTAAATCGCATTCCTTTGTAGTTGACGGCTCTTTCTTTATAGGGTATAAAATATACTCGACATCGTAATTATTGCTCTTCGGCGGTAGTGGAGCTTTCCTCTTATTCTTTTGCTGACTTTTAAAATCATCTGTCTCGATAGATTCTATATTTTTCGCTGTATTTTGTAATTCAGAATTATTTTTCCGATTTCTGCGAGCAGCCATAGCTGCGTTATGGACTTCCATCGGTACTTCTGACGGCACATGAATCGATGTATCACTGATTCTGTTGTTTTTATCTGACGTGTCACTACGTAATTCAAAGATATCATTTTTCCCTTTAGGAGCTGGAAGTACTTGTGACGTTTGTTGACGTTCAGCTTCTTCCTTCTTGTCACCAACTGCGAATGCTTTATTCATACTTGACAAATGTTTTTCTGCATCGAGTTTTTTCGAATGTCTTCTTTCAAGATTCGTGTTGTGTTCATTTTGATTTTCAATGCGATGGACAGTTCCATCAAGGGAGGGTAGAACTTTAATACCAAATTTATGGTGATTGCTTTTGGACTCTTCGTGGCATTTTTTAAACGTTTGACTATTCGGTGTAGACTTTGTGGATTTCAAAGTCGAATTCATCGTCGAGTAATTAGAATTGATGGAATCATTCGGATCGACTATGAACAGCCTCTTCGCAATACTTTTTGACTGTGAAAGTTCTGGGATCGACTGACTCCTGTATAAAGGGTGACAAATTCTTGCTGCGCTAGGACCAACACTTTTTTTCAAAAGAGTGGTTGGCTTTGATCCAATTCCGCCACTTTCTACTTCAAGTTTTACGTCATATGGCGAAGCATAGCTTAAAATCGTTAAAGCATCCTCGTAAACCATATTTCGAAAACTGATTTTTATACTGGTTATACGATCCCCTGTAAACACAATAATGCTAAAAAATAAAGTCTTTGCTATTTATTGTTATTTATATGCATTTAGTAGAAAAAATATGAAAGATAAAAAATAAAAGAGTAATGTTGTATAACATATATATCTGATTTATTAAACAAATTATTTAAAACTATAACATAGATAAAATGTGGAAGAAACATCGGTATTATATGTGTATAATAAAGCAAAATAGATAAATATAAATATTTATAAAAAATCTAAGGAAATATTATTAAATTTGTTCGAGAAATAGATTATTAACGAAATATTCTACTTTACATCCTATGTATTTGTTACAAATTTTTAATATAATATTTATAAGTCTAATCTTGTTAGGAAGTTTACAGTGATATTCTATATTTTTAATTCTATTAATAAACACTATATAATTATATTATATAGTGTTTATTATTGAAATATATTATTTAAATATAATTAATTATTTTTTATATTATTTAAAAGAAGCACACAAGATAATATTTAAAGTTACTATAATCACACACAAAACTAATTTTATTAATTTATACATAAATAATTAACTTAAATTTTTAAGTTATCTATGTTATTGCAGCATTTCGAAGATTAAATAATATAATAAAAAAAGTATCTGCGAAGTGAATAAATAAGAAATTTAATATTAAATATAAATGAGAAATTTAGATTAAACAAATATTTCTTATTCAATATCATTTGTAGTTTTTGATATATATAATTAATGATAGTGATTATTGATGATACATGAAGATACTTTCGTATGATAATTTTCAAATATAAAAAAATTACTAACCTGGATGTATTCGACCGGATTCCGACGCAGGTCCACGATGTAGAAGATCTTTAACAAAGATTCCTTCTCTCATATTACCACAAATATTAAATCCCAATCCAGTGAAATCTCGACTTTTTAAGCTAACTACATTGATCCTTGTTGCTTTTGGCTGCAGAAAAAAAAAAAAAACTTAGCGATTGCATAATTGGAAATAATACATTATTGATAACTGTAATGCTATCGTTATTATTTCTATCAATAAATTATTTTATAAATATATTCTATTTATATTATATTAAAAAAAATTATATTATTTATATTTTTATATAAATATTTACTATTATAATTAATACTATTATACTATTGTATAAGTAATATTAAATTACTATTTTTATATTATATTAAAAAGAATTGTTCACTTCAAACTTTTTATTTTGCAAAAGTTAGTTTTATAATTCGATTCGATATAACTATGGACTTCCTCTTCAGCAAAGAACAGAAGGGCACGTATCGAAGATGGCTAGATTAACTGTACACGCAACCAAATTTAGCCATGTACAATACTTTCTATGTTTGGAATGATGAAATGTATATTTTATGATCGTTGTAGCTTCCTTTATAAAAACACAACAAGTTTCTGAGTTATTTATTTGTTATAGATAAAGATTGCTATAATTTGATTCGTTATACATATCGTTTTCATACTATATTATGGGAAGAAGAAAGAAATAAAACTTACTCCAAGGCACGAATCGTCGAGAGTTTTCCGTTTGTCGCTGCCCAGTCCTAAGGATGTCCAGGAGGTAGACCATCGTGCAGAATCTTTACCTGGGATATCTCTAGGTGTCAGAGACACTGCTCCTTCTCGAATTCGGTTAGTCGACGATATTGTGACATCCTTGAAACAAGGATTGTCAAAGGCATAGGCTTCCTCTACGATTTCTGGATCCGTTACCAATACTAAATGTTTTCCTAGAAAATATTCATCTCACGTTACTATTAATCAAGATTGCTTTTCGAACTATGAAAAATAAATGTTTCTCTTAGAAATTTTGTTTATTAGTTTATTCGATATTCTTATATTTGCATATACATTAGATTTTAACACTAGACTATCGAAATAGGTGGAAACAAACCAACAAAAGAAGTTTTGTTCGAAATTTTATAGATGTAGAACAGATGTATTTTTAGAGATTTAAATAATTTTTAAAATGTATAGAGTTCCATTAATTTTTTACTTTGAAAAAGTAAAGTTTAAAAACTTTTGAAACTTTTGAAAATTTTAGGCTTTAGTAATTGCTAGTTTCAGTCAAAAATGTTTAAATATAATACATATATTTTCTACTAGTAATGGAAAAATTAAGATTAAACTATATGAAATTACTTTTTTAAATATTTCATTTTTTTTTTTTTGATAAAATTTTTATATAACTATTAATTATTAACTTTTGACAAAGACTTTTGTATGACATTAAACTTAGTATAATATAATGTAATAATTAAAATTCATTCTGTATGAATTTTTATATGAACAATTGATATTCTTTATATCACTCTCTGTTCGTTTCATCACATTGTATAAAAAAAAAAACAGTTCACTTGGAAAAACATTTTTATTAATATTAATTTTGTAGTAAATTAAATAAATTTTCAATGTTAAATATTTCCCTTTCAATTTATAAATATTTGAAAATTTTAATAAAATTAAAAAAATTAAAATTTTATTCTAATTAGGAAAGATATTATTATTACAATTTAATTACATAAAATATAATGGTAGAATAGGAAAAATAACATCATTTTAATCAATAATTTTTAATAATTTTTGTATGAAAATTCTCTTTTGAAAAAAAATTAACTCAATGTAAAGTTTATCGTTTAGATTTTAAACTAAATTCTAATTTATTAAAAAAAATAATTGCATACTGTTCTGCAATTCAGATAAAGAACAAATTATCATTAACATGATAAAAATTTTTAACTTTCTCGTTGATTCCAAATTTTTTATTGCAACATTTACCGTAATACATTATTTTGATTTCTTTAACACATTTTTTTATTTTATTTTACTTGTTCTACAGGAAACTTTAATCAGTCTCTTTAACCGGAATATGTTTAATTGCATTTTCATCTTAAAATGTAAGATAAGAACGTAAAATGTAAAATAAGGAAAAAAAATTTTAATTGAACAAATGAATAAATTTTGAAAAATTAATTAACTTAACGATTTAATTTTAAATATAAAAGATTTAAATTCGAAACGATATAAAAATAAAAAAATTAAATCTAATATAACTTTATTTGCTTACATATTTTTATTTGAATGTAATAAACATCTAATCGTATTTTTTTGTGTTCGAAAGAAAATATTGTGAGAAGAAAATATGTTCTTCAAGAATATTAGGTTTAAGAATATTGTTAGTAGTATAAAAAAAAAAACATTAAAGAAAGAAAAAATAAAGTGATAAATCACTTGGAAATGAATGGAAAATATCTTTTTAAAATTACTCTCGAAAAGAATATTCACCGCTATAATTTTTTAACTATATAAAAAGAATGCTTTGAATGAAAGTTGTTAAGTTTCAACAATAGCTATGAAAATAACAAAAAATTAAACCATTTTAAAAAATTAGAAATGGTATTCTTTCTATTCTAAAAACTCAGCCTCGCATCTACTTATACTCCACGTTAGTTCCTCATATCATTTAACGTGATAAAATTTCAAATTGATATCTGCAGTGCTTTCAGTTTGTCAACAGTTTATAACATTTTACATAGGACACTCTGTATAGTGAATTGATATAATGATTTTTATGGTTTGTTTATTCGATAATGCTGCGATATTGATTGCGACAAATTTGTTGATATTGGTCTACTATTTAAGATATCCTTGTTCATTTATATTCATTTGTTACATGCAGGAAGATTTAAATAAGCATTAAGTTAAGTTTTACGGCCCTGAAGGAAAAATAGAGATATAAATACGTATTTGTGGAACAACACAAAATTCTGTTATTACATTTACTAATTTAAGTTGGTATACTATATTAATTAATATTACATTTCAACTTACGAATGACTTGTATATCAGCATAAATGATATTACGCACAGAACAAGTTGTATAATTAATGTAAGAAAAATTATGTAACGAAATATAGCAGATATTGAACATTTTAAAGGTATTTATGGTAGATATATTGCATGAATTATATTACTACAAACGTGACATCATCCTACGGATTTACGCTTATTTACTGCATTTCTCGTTTACGTTTATGCATAAAATTACATTCCATTCTGTTT